TCAAAAAGTATACATGCTCATTTTAGGGGAATAATAAAACGAGGACTATATGTAAAATTAACTCTCTCACTCTCTTTTTATTAAATTAAAATTGTGAAAGTTTATAGTATGCCATGCATTGCACAAGTTAGAACAGATGCGCAAAGTTTTAAAGTGGATGAGACCAGAAGAAAAAAGCCAATGACTTCAACCACTTAGAAAGAAGGGCTGCTCCTGAAATCAACTTCTGAGATGGTCTGCTGGTTTTGAATAGTTTTTTGCTTAAATTTACAATTGATGCATGTTCCTGTAAGTGATTTTCAGTCACTTCTATGAAAGCCTGCTTCTCAGTGGCTTGTTCCCCTTGCCAGACATCTCTCAGACATGTAGGGTGCCTGTACATGAGTATGGAGCCTGTAATTACCGTGTTGCAGCAGCCTCCCGAGTCTTATGTATTAGTGTCCCCACGCTTCAAAATGGCAGGGGGAGCACTTGAACTAATGGTGATTAAAATGAATGTTTCCAACTTCAGTTTTCAGACGAGACTACTCCTGATCAAGAAGTACTGATGTGTGTAACTGCAAGTGTATCACTGCAGTTACACACATCAGTTTGCTACAAAACATGGATCAGATATTATATATATTACCCTGCATACAGAAACTGCTTCATTGGATAATCAAAGAGTGATTAAGGACAAAAATCTCAGCCATTTTGAGATTTGTCTGTTGCTTCTTCATTCATTCCAATATAATGCAGAATCTGCAGAGCTGGCTGGGGACTCTGAAAGCCTGGGTGGCGGGATGGGGTGCGTGTCATATGCCAGAGACATTCTGCCGGATGTGGCAACTTTGGAGCTACTAAGTGAAAAAGGACATTCTTGCCAGTTTTATGATTGGCACTGGCAGTGGCACTTAATTTCATTCAGCAACTGGAAGGTCTCGGAGAGCTTATTTTGTTTCAAAAGCACAATGTTTTGGTGTTTTTTTCTTCTTGGAATTTGCAGTTCATGAGTTACTGAAAAGATTTTGACCTGATTTTCACTTAAAACAACATTTAAAAACTTTGTGCCAATTTGGAGCCCTGCTTTTCAACCAACTAAGTTCCAGCATCCTCTGGCTTTAAAAAAGAGTCATGTGCTGGATGGTTCATTGTACCTCTCTGATGAGCTAAGGGCATGGACAAACGTACATTTGGACTGGCTTCAAAAAGGGGAAGGGGAAGGGGAAGGGGAAGTGGAAGGGGAAGCTCCTGCTGCTCTAACCATTACTTCTGCATAAGCTCTCAGCAATACAAATGCATTAAGTTGCCCCAACTTTAACCTTGGATGAAGCAGAGTTACAGCTGCAGTGGTTTTCCCACAATTGTATTTCTATAGGCTTGTGCAGAATTAAGGGTTATGGGGTACCAGGTGCTGTCCAGAACAGTAGCTCCATCTCCCCTTTTGAAGCCGATACATTTGCCCGTGCCCTGAGAGGGCACAAGCAGGAAAACCAGCCCGCAGAATGAAAAGGAGTAGCCGCTCCTGCTTAAATGCTAGGGCAGTGCCAACAGGAGAGAAAAGGTCCAGTATAAATGCTGATGATTGTCAAGGACAGACCTGACCTCCCCAAAGTTGTCCAAATCTATTAGTATCGTGGTTTTCAACCTTTATTCATTTGCGGCCCCCTAAAAAATTTAAATGGAGGTGTGGGACCCCTTTGAATTGCAAATGTGGGTATTCACATACTTTTGATTGATTATAGTCATCTTTCATAGACCCCTTAGACATAGTCAGTGGACCTCAGACATAGTCACCAGACCTTCAGGGGTCCACAGACCACAGGTTGAAAATCACTGTACTATTACAGTGTTTCCTTCTGAGATCTCTCAGCCTCTCTGGAGAGACAAGTTTTTCAAATTTAATATTAACATCATCTTTCCAGCTAACATCATCTTTAGGAGCTAGGATACTCATTTATGACCGCCTCAGCAAATTAACCTTTCTGCAACTACAATTCATGTTTTGTGACTCTATTTTGTGATTTTTGATTAGCTATCAAAGATTATGATTTCAAAGTCACACAGTGTATTTCATTTTTAAAACTGAACCCATATTTGGCAGGGCTGCTAGATCAACCATTTGTAAAGTTAGAGCTATATATTTTGAACTTAAAAGCTCCAAAGTAATTTTAACATGGACATTTCTACTGAAAGCACAACGTTTTTGTGCATCAATAGTGTTAACTGAAAAAAATCAGAGCAGCTGGTGAGTAATTAGCAGCTTTTGCTGTAAGTGCATCTGAAAACATATTGGACAAGGTCTCTGCGCTACTGTCATTTCTTCCTGGTAACACATCCTAGTAGGCTGGAGTGGGGGAGCCAAAGGGGAAGAGGAACAGACCTCTGGATTACCCAAGATATGAAATTATAATGATCTATTATCCTGAGGTAAAGTATACCAGTGAAGTGGCTTTCCTTTACAGCTCAATAGGGCAGAGAACAAATCTGGAAGGAAGTGTAAGCTTTGCTTTTAGCTGGCCAGTTGCTTTCCTGTCCCTAGACAGAATATCTCTGTGGCACAGTCAGGAAAACCTCATTCCTATCTTCTTCTGCAGCATTATATCACATTAGTGCAAGCTAGCAGGCCTTGATTATATGCCTTGTAAGCTGGGGTAAGTAGGACAGTACTCTCATTCTTTTGCTCCCCTTAAGCTAATTTTAACAAAAAATTGTAGCAAAAATGTTGAAGCTGTTTACAGTCTTCACATTTATTTCACTAGCTAAGAAATGGGCTATGGACACTACAATTTCTTGGCATTTGACTAGGGCTGAAACGGTGACAGATTTATATGGTTTTGAGTATCATATAACTCATAAGCAGTAAATTCACCAAGTATATTTTAAAAAAAGGCAAAATAACTTTCATTCAGTTGAAAGACAAGGATGAAGCAGCAAGGGCTATGTAAAGTACAAGTGGGTATTTTGCACTTTCTTTGCATCTTCTATCTTAGAGAAAAGGTTTTTCTAACAAACCCAAGTGGTGTTTCCCTTCTTCCCACTTCTGGTTTTATGTCATTCATTTTTCAATACAGACATTCATAACTTTGCCTTCATAAAACAAAACAAAACATGGCATCACTGGGAACCAGGCCAACAGCTCGTATAAAGAAGCTCTACTGAAATCAGCTGTACAAGCCTGATGATGCCATGTGAAGATATAGCTTTGAATTTCAGCTTGTAAGGTGAGAGACTTTGCTTCTGGTTATGTGAATGCAAGTCTCACTGAAACCAAAAGAGGTTGTGCATCCATAACTTAAGAAAAAATAAAAACTTGGGTTTCATACAGTAAATTATCAAGTCAGACTGTGGTTTATTAAGTGCAACTTATTTATTGCTAAATAGTATTACATGATTTTGAATGCTCAAAATGAGTACCATGAAGACAAGCTACAATTTATTTTACCAGGTCTTGTAATTCTAGAAAGTCAGACATGTTTAAGAACTTGCTGTGTACAGATGAATGTCTATATGACTGGGAGTACGTTGTTAAGTGCATCAATTGTTTTCTTTAGAAATTCTTCATTGGACATTTTAATAAATAAGAGAAATACAGTTCACGGTCTGTAGCTAAATCACAGTGTCATTTATGTTTTTCTTGTTTGGCTTTCCCAGTGAAATGTTATGTATACAATAAGAAATGTTCACAACTACATTCCAGATTATTTGCAATGGGCTTCTACCTGTAATTTTCATACTCTTTTTACATGAAAGAAGGAGAAAGCCTCTGATATAAAGGGACTTGAACCTAAAACATTCTACGGTTTCACAGAACCAAAACAGTGACATTTTGAGAACGAACCAAATTAACTGAGTTTTGCCCACCTCCACGTGAAACAGAACCATTTATCTGAACCCTACAGACATTTTACAAGGTAGATCAATGGGACCAAGAATCTGAAACTCTCTAGGTACATGCTGTGAAATTTTAAACCTAAGATATGGCTTATATTTTGCAAACCAAAACCACTCATTTAGGCCCATTGCTCTAATTTTTTTTCTTTTGCTTAAAATGGATGAATTCCTCTCAGCTGCTTTAAGTTTTCTGTTGCTGACAGTAATTGAACATTCTTGTTTAATGATTCCATATTTCCAGGAATAATCATACGTAAAGAGATTACAAAGCATTTTTAACCTTCTTAATGGTGAGACTGAATGGAAGGGTGCACACTACAATTGTATACTGAAAGCTTCTGACTTGATGATAGAAGAGCTGGGTATAGAAATTTTGCTAAATTGCTGGATTGCATCTCTGAGAGAGACTGAAGGGCTAATATAGCAAGTTATCTGGCAGTAGCTATCCACAGCACAAAATAAGAAAAAAGATTTAGTGGAGCTAACCTTCTGAACTTACATATTGATGGCATACTCTAACGGTGGTGATTACCACACAAATTAGGGTTGTATTGAAGATAAATCACATTTTTAAGCAGCATGGCTGGAAGGAAAGACTAAACAAAGGATCACAGGCTACACTAATTAGATTATCTGTGCTGATTTTTGTTCAGCTGGGGGTGTCTCTGGCACAGTTTTAACAGACGTGGAGCAAAAACAAACTACTAGTGCACAACAAAATCATCAATATTTTAAAAGTATATAGGCATTTACAGAAAGTAAAGTTGAATTGTGCTGCCTCCTTGATATTCCTCTTGTGGTCTAGTCATCCTGATGGAAAAGGTGGTTGAAAAGCTTTAATTGACAAAGCATAAACTGTAGAGGGGTGCCCCATTGTCTACTTTAATCATAAAGGAAGAAAATAGAGAAATATATAAATATATACAATTTAAGAGGCAATACGAAATGCTTCATTTTGCATAAGGCAAATTTACCAGGCTTATTCTGAAAGCAGCTAGATGCTGTTTCCAACATTGAAGAATTTGGCAAAGTTACTATATTAACAGGGCTACTAATTTCGAAACTGTCTTTTCACTGTTTTATCTACTTCTTAATAAAGGTAATGAACAACAGTTGAACAAACTCACAAGTGGAGTATCTTTTCCTCCCACAATGCTGAGACCAAGGCCTGATCGCCCCTTGGATATCTCTATAGTCATCTCCTGCCCAGGAACAATGGGACATGTTGCTGGATCCACTGGCAACGGAGGTGGCAGGTTCCCTGAAACAAAAAAGGAATATGTTAAAAAATAAAGCAAGCAGTCAGAAATATTTCATGGGAAAATAAAGATCTAAGGTAATGGCACTGGAGTAACTAAATGGCTGAAACTTGCTCTATATGTCCTTATACTCTTAAATCAAGTTAAAAGAATACCTTAAAGACATCTAACAATCTGAGCCATTTCAAAACTATTCCAATCTGGTATGACAATTATGTCAGATATGCCCTGTGTGATTTTGATCATGATGACAAAGGACATTACATTTAGATGAAACGAAGCTATAACCGCAACAGTGAATCAGACAGGGAATCTTCCAAATTTACATTAAAATTCAGCATTTTGTAAAACATCTTGTCACAATGACATTTAAAAACTACCCAGGGTTGATGTATGCTGTCAAAATATTTTTTGTTCTGAAGCTGCAAAAACTCTCCAAAGGCAAAAATGGAAACAAATTATTTGTTATACCTTTTTCCCCCCAAATAGATCTGATGCAATTGAGGAAAAGGATGTAAACAATCTATTGCTAGGCTGGCTTTTTCTCTAAACTGTAAAGAGTAGAAAGAATCCTAAGTTTGCCAAGTAAGAAAAAAATGAAATCAATATATATAAAAAAGTAAATATATTACAGTGCCCTTTTCGAAACTCAAAACACAGAGCTAAGCAAAACATGTCTAAGAAGGTATAAAACAATGTCAACTGCGCTCAGGTACTTTAGCTCATTTTGACAGTACTTGCTTTTATATTAGCAGAGTAAGTTTGCCATTAATATTAGCTATCTTGCTGAAAGAAATAATGGGTTCTTACTTCGGTTGGTGAGCTCCGCTTCTGGAGGAAGATAAATAGGCGCTGGCACCAGAGATATCTCATGTAAACCAATAGGCACTTTTACTGAAGTCTTGGATTGTTTTAACTGGTTGAGGAGAAATTAAAATTATTCAATTATTGACAATAAGAACACAAAGGCAGCATATTACTTCTATCATTTGATTAAACATTGTTCAATCAAAGTTATTAATTAAAGATATTAACTGAAATGGCAAGGATACAATTCAGTTTAAAAACATTTTAAATCAATTAGGTATATTAAATACTGTGATTCCAGGGAAACCTGCACAGAAAGTGCTGATGGAACTCTTATCTTCATCGGGTAAGACCAAAGGAATTCTTAGTTTTTGAGAAGAGAAGAATATATTTTTAGCACTGTCCCATATGATTGCTTCCAGGTGTTTGAAGAGAAGGTACTTTTATATTTGAACACTGAATGTATAAAAATAAAACCTAAAAATATTTCCTTCCTTCAGTAATAGAAGGGCCCCAATAGGGTAAATCATAAAAAAGAGAGCCATACATACATTTCCTGGAAGTGGTTCTTCTACCTCCTGTTGATTCACCATCAACACCTGTTTGTCAGCCTTGTTTTTGACATCCTAAAATAAGGGGAGAAATTGTTTACTATAACTGAGTGTCACAGCGACTTCAATCTTCATTTAATAAAATCACTTCAAAACAACAGAAATTAAAGCTTCAATAAGGTCATATTCTTTCCCGCTTACGAGCCTTCAGAATGCAATGTCATGTCCAGATGAAGCAAAGAACTTAAAAGGATTTAGAGAAGTATTAGACATTTATGCGGCTAACAAGAATACCCACAATTGTAAACAAATACTCTTCAATAAATTTTTAAAGAAATAAGGGTATTAGGAGGCAAGCCCCTCTTAGGAGATTATGCTGCATCTGCCTGCTGCTCTTATCCATCCTGCATATTCCCCACAAGAACTGATTGCTGGTGTTTGGGATCAAAGGTTACTGGATTAGATGACTATAGGTTTAATCCAGCAATTTCTTATTTTGTTTAAAGCATACAGAAACTTACAGGAAGCCACTGGGTTTGATTTAAAAAACTGGTAGTTCAATGGGACCTCAGTGAACCAGGGTGTACAAAGAAGAGACGACTAGAAGGTACCTAATTCCATCTCTTCCACTCAAGAAAGGAAAGCACACTGGCAAACAGTGGCAAAAGGAAAGCAATTTAAACAAAATAAAGGATTATAGAACTTCATCCAGTCTCGTTATGTGCCCTGCAAACAATGATGCTCCCATCTCTTTCAAGACATTTTTCTTTCCTAAATTTTAGCCTATACTCTGAGTTACAACTCCCTATAATACTGTAAAAAAATTCCTTTCCTTCCCAGGGCATATGTTCTTCAGATGTTTTCAGACACTTAAAATATATCTCCTTCATTGTCACATAGCCAATTTTAAGCTGTTTAAACCAGTGTTTTCAGACATGGGTGATTTGGGTACCCAAATGTGAAAAAAGTGACCCTGCTTCCTCAAGTCTCACAAAACTCTAAATCTGAATGACAGCGGTCTTCAAATATTTGGAGGGCTGCCGTAAAGAAGGAAAACACCTCTTCTCAGAGAGCAGAATGGGGACCACTGCCTTGAAGTTTCAGCAAAGTAAGTTTAGATTAGAAATCAGGAAAAACTTCACTGTTAGAACAGCGATGCAGTGGAATAGACTGCCTAGGGAAGATGTGGACTCTTCATCACTGGAGGTGTCCAAGAAGAGGCTGGACAGCCACTGGTCGGGGACAATTTGGCAATGCTATGCCTATGTTTCTACTTTGGGTATTTCACATGCTTCTGGGCCCTGCTGGCTGCTGCATGGGGCTGGGAAAGTTTTCTCTCCACCCCTGCAGCTACATGCTTCAGGGTTTCTCTAAGCCTTCCTCAGACGAATTGAGTGTTGGCTGCAGCCAAGCCTGAGGATTTTGATGGGGGGCAAGGCATAGTAGGGGGAAAATGATCCTGCTGGGACTTAAAGTCACAGGTTCCTGGCTAGAGAGTCTTGCCCCTCTGCTCAGGATCAGATGGATCACCATATCTTGGGTCAGATAGTACAGATTGTGGGGGGCTTGCCTTCCTCTGTAATGGAGGTGGTAACCCTCTTCCTGGAATCTCTTGAACATATATTAACAACCTTTACAGCAGTAGGATGTTGGCCACCGTGGTCCCCCTACTTTACCTGTGTTAGAGCATTACGTCTTGGGTTTTGTGTAAAGCTTGACTGTGTAGTTTTGCTAAGAGGTTAGACAATGGATTTGTATAGGATGGTTTCTATAAGGATGCTGCTGCCTCAGGCAGGTGTGGGACAAGATGACCTATGGAGGTCTCTTCCAGCATTACTTTAGTTAAATTCTTTTATTAGCTTTTAGTGTTTCAAGTTAAATGATTCAGGGGCACATCTTTCAAGCTATATAAAAACAGATCAATATTGCAAGTCCAAATAACACCCCAACACCAAACCGAAATTTACTGTATTTACTCAAATCTTAGACAAACTTGAATTTAAGATGACCCCCCAATAATTAGATTCTATACATGGCAAATTTATAAATGTATTATAATTTTGCCATGTACAGAATCTAATAATTGGGAGGTCATCTTTAATTCATGTCTCCCACTGCTTACAGGGAAGGCAGGCAATGGGGGGCAGGTGGTATGGGAAGATCAAGCAGCTTGATTCCAGCTTGTGCCTGCCCCTCCTGCAGCCTCAGCTTCCCCCTTGCCCCTCTGCCTCTGCTCTCCCTCTCCACCCCCTTCTCCCCACTCCAGCCTCCTTGCTCTGCACTGGCAGGCTTGATCCCCATTCTTGCCCAGGGCACAGAGCATGGCCCCAGCCCAGCCCAGCCCAACCCAACACCCATAGCAGCTGTGCAGGCTGTGTGCCACTATTGGGCTGGGCTGGGGTCATGCTCAGTGCCCAAGACTGTACTGTGGACTATGAAGCAAAGTAAGCAGGGAATGCAAAGGTGTAGGCAGGGGAGCAGAGGCTGCATCAGGAGGTATATGGGGATGTGAAGTGGCAGCAGGAGTGGGGCGAGGAAGGAGCAGACAGCTGTTGCTGGGTAGGGACTGAAGCCCAAGCTAGAGCAGCTGCCTGTACACCCCTCCCCCCCGCGCTAACTACCCTCATACTCGATTCTAAGATGAGGGGCTTTCCCCTTCCCATATTAAATGGGAGAAAACCCTGTCTTAGAATTGAGTAAATATGGTATTTACTCTTTCTAAATATGTAATATACCCATGCAACATGCAGACATCATGAGCATGAGTAGTTTAAGGAATATCTTCAGTTCTTATACAAACCATCATTTCTGTCAAGATCCAAGTTCTAAAAGAATCACTTAATGGGTTTTAAAATATTCTTCAAATGTTCATAGAATCAAGACAACCAGGTCCTTAGAAAACCAAAGTGCTCTATCAGATCACTTCAGGTACCAGCTGCTAGTATTGTAGCTATTTGACCTCAGGTTCAATGATACTAAGTGCAATATAAACAATCTTCTTTTCCCCTTCTACTCTCACAGGTCCATGGCCATATCAGTTATATAAAACTTAATACTTTTGAAAGCAATGAACTAGAAACACAAAACATCCTGGGCCAGCCTGGCAAACTTATCATCAATAAATGGATGCAGAATGAGCTGCTATCAACTTCAAAACTCAAATGAAAAACAATATTTCTGCATGCTTGTATGCTCCAGAACATGTAATGTTAGGTTGCTGCTTTGAGTTGTACTCATTTGAGAGGGATTTTTGTGGACAAGAATATACACATACACATTATAGATGTATGTACTGACTTTGTGATTCTGGACTTCTCAGAGCACAGAAGAAGTTAAGTGCTAACTAACAGTGATGTGACTGCGTGGGCAACAAACAGGGACAACTTTTATGATCTTGGCACTGAGGCATCTTTTTCCAAGACATCCACTAAGAGACCAATGGAAATCTCTATTTATCTTCTTATCCAAAGAATAGTTATCTTGTGCTGCACTGCAGTGTTAACAAGGGCCATGTACAGACCGTTTCTCCTGGGAGAGTTGCTTCAGGATTTTTCTCTCAGAGCAAAAATGGCTGCTCCAGGAGAAAAAATAACTTGGAAACAACCAGGGCTGAATTACTCTAAGAGAGTGTTTTTTTTGAGATAGAAAATGTCTGGATACATTCCCTTTTTTGTTTTCCTAGACGCATCTTCCTCATAACCCAGTCTGGGATCTCTGCAGTGCCTTCAGCTCTTCTGAATTAAAAATTTGTCTACTCAAAGAGCTGCACAATGCCATGCCCAAATACAACTTGCCTACATTTTTTTTACTGTACCTCGCTCCTGACTTTTTGCCCAAGGTTCTCTCGTGCCCCTTGTCTCTGTCACCCGTATCAAGAATTGTATATTTTATCATAATTATCTGTATCCCTTGAGCAATTCCTTAAGTAAAGCACTCCAAAGAGAGCTGGCAAAGAACTGAAATAATGCATTTACAGCTGGTATTCATGAATTAAGCCTCCAATTAATTTATATCCAAACTCATTAATACTGTTGACTGAATGTTCCGGATAACTCAGATAAATGCATATACTCAGCCGACAATTGTTTTATCACTCAATCAGAATAGACATTTCAAGTCTTAAACACCATGCTAACTTCTGATGCTTGGCAGTCCATGAAGTATTTACTTGTAATACTCATCAAGTAGTTCCAAAAAATCAAGACTGGTTCACAAAAATGTTATGAAGCAGGAAGAAAATATATCCAAAACAAAAACATAATATTTTTAATTGATGACTGCATACACAGCATGGCTGAGCTAATAAACTCCCTGAGGAAACTACAGTAAGCTGTTGAGAGGAGGGGCAGAGAAAGGAAGATTGTCTCAGCAAATCTGATGCTCCTCTGGGTTAGTCACTCCTCAGCATATTTAATACTTCTGTTTTAAACTTCTAACGCAGTGTTAGAAGAGTCAAGGTACAAGCCTTGGGAGGTTTGGACAATGTAAAATACCGACACATTACATAACAACAACACAAACCCTCGGTATGTGTCAGTGAAACATTTGGTATTTATTACTGTACCATGCTAAACTGTAAGTTATGGACTTGACACAGAAATTACTGAGACAAATTCTATATCCTATGTTATATAGGAGGTCAGACTAGCTTATGATAACGGCTCTTTTGGCCTTAAAATCTATGAAGCTATGAATACAAATATGACCATGATTTATATACACAAGCTTGTTTCCAGGATGTGTCATGTATTTTTAACAAACATAGACATGATCCTCTTGGCAAAAACAAAACAGGAAGGGAGACCAATGATCAGGATGTATGTAATTATTCTACCTCAACAATTTATGGATCAAAGATAGGAAAATATATGTAAAAACCAAACAAATACATGAAGTTGCAGCCTCTCAACTATATTCATTAGGAATTATTCCATAAAAGTCAGCTGCAGTTCCCCAAGCAGGAAAAGAAAATCTGGTGAACATGTTAACACCTTCTCAGCTTTCAGTTTTGTGGGCAGCTAAACATTTCTTTAAACAGCACTTACTACTTTGATGCATTTATCTTCAGTCAAGCTTTTCACGACAACTTCCGAGCTGGTATCTTCTTCACTGCTTGCAGGTTCAGTGCCACTGTGATCCTATCATAGAATGGTTTTTGTTTTAGCATGACTACATTTCCTCTAAACAGCTCAAGACAAAAAGATTAAACCATTTGCAATGTATACTTCATGCAAGTCTTATGTGATGGGATGAAATAAGCATAATATTCAACCATAAATCTCCACGGCTGAAGAGAAAAGATCAAAGCAAAGGTAACACTTAATATACATCTCGGGCTTCAGTGGACTAGTGTCAAGTACTACAGGGTCTGCCCCTTTTTATGCATCGCTAGGAATACTGCAAGTGATATCCAGGGACAATTACTATGACAACAATGAGGGTGAAGTTCAGGAACTGGGAGGGAAGGTGTTGCTGCTGAATAGTGCTACAGAATTCTGTTCTGATGAGCTAATGTTTCGCCTCACTTTGAGCACACGCAACAAATCCCCTTTGCTTAGACAGAAGAGGAGCAAAAAAAGTTTTCTTCCTTCTGTACAGGTCTCCTAATGAAAAGGGCTTATGAAACAAACAACTGTATCACAGCCAGAGCTGAGAAGTTGATCTGATACAGCAGCAGACAGCAGCCTTTTTAAAGCCGTGGGCCACAATGACATGGCTCAGGTCTGAGGCAAGCCAGCGCCAGGACTTGGCTGTTGCCACTGCTTCTCCGTGCCACCCTCCCATAGAATCATAGAAATATTAGGGTTGGAAAGGACCTCTGGAGGTCATCTAGTCCAATGCTTCCCAACCTTTTCCAGCCCAAGGCATACTTACATTAATAAAACTTTTCTGCAGCACACCTGTTAAGGCATTCCCCATCCTTATACCTGTTGTGGCTCACTGCCATGGCACACCTGTTCATTTCTGATGGCACACTTTTGTGCCACGGTACACTGGCTGGGAAACACTGATCTAGTCCAACCCCCTGTTCAAAGCAAGACCATCCCCAACTAGATCATCCCAGCTAAAGCTTTGTCTAGCTGGGTCTTGAAAACCTGCAACGATGGCGATTCCACCACCTCTGCGTAACCTGTTCCAGTGTTTACTACCCTCCTAGTGAGAAAATTCTTCCTATTTAGCCTAAACTTCCCTTGCTGCAACCTGAGACCATTGCTCCTTGTTCTGTCATCTGCCACCACTGAGAACAGTCCAGCTCCATCCTCTTTTGAAACCCGCTTCAGGCAGTTGAAGGCTGCTATTAAGTCCCCTCTTAGTCTTGTCTTCTGTAGACTAAATAAGCTCAGTTCCCTCAGCCTGTCCTTGTAAGTCATGTGCCCCAGCCCCTGAACCATTTTTGTTGCCCTCCCCTGGACTCTCTCTAATTTGTCCTCATCCTTTCTGTAGTTGGGGGGCCCAAAACTAGACACAGTACTCCAGATGTGGCCTCACCTGTGCTGAATAGAGGAGAATAATCCCTTGCCCCCTGGCAACACACCTACTAATGCAGCCTAGGATGCTGTTTGCCTTCTTGGCAACAAGGGCACACTGTTGGCTCACACTGTCACCCCCCGGGGCCTTTATTGCAGAGCTGCTTCCCAGCCAGTCAGCCCCCAGCTTGTACCGGTGCATGGGATTGTTCTGTCCTAAGTGCAGAACTTTGCATTTGTCCTTCTTGAATCTCATGAGATTTCTTTTGGCCTAATCCTCCAATTTGTCTAGGTCACTCTGAATCCTAGCCCTACTACCCTCACACATATCTATTATTCCCCCTGGCTTGATGTCATCTGCAAACTTCCTGAGGGCAAACTCTATGCCATCTTCCAGGTCGTTGATAAAGACATAGAACAAAACCAGCTCCAAGACCGATCCCTGGGGCACTCCACTTCATAGCAGCTCCCAACTAGACATTGAGCTGATTACTACCAGACACTGATTACTAGTAGAGCCAGGAGAATCAGAGCCAGCTAGACGCTGATTACTACTCTTTGAGACCGATTCTCCAGCCAGTTTTCTATCTACCTTACAGCCCATTTATCCAGCCCATAATTCCTTAGCTTGCCTGGGGGAATGTTGTGGGAGGCCGTACCAGAAGCCTTGCTAAAATCAAGGTACACCACATCCACCAGTCTCCCCACATCCACAGAGCCAGTCATCTCATCATAGAAAGCAATAAGGTTGGTCAGGTATGACTGACCCCTAGTGAATCCATGCTGACTGTTCCTAATCACCTTTTTCTCCTTCAAGTGCTTAAAAATAGATTCCTTGAGGATCTACTCCATGATTTTTCCAGGGACTGAGGTAAGGATGACTGATCTGCAGTTCCCTAGATCCTCCTTTTTCCCTTAAATATGGGCATTATGTTTGCCCTTTTCCAATCATCTGGGACATCTCCTGATCGTCCTGAGTTTTCAAAGATGATGGACAATGGCTCTGCAATCGCATCAGCCAACTCCCTCAGAACACTTGAGTGCATCTCATCCGGCTCCATTGATTTATACACATCCAGATTTTTTAAGCAGTTCCTAACATGTTCTTTCACCACTGAGGTCTGCTCAACTCCACCCCAAACCATGCTGCCCAGTGCAATAGTCTGGGAGCTGACCTTGCCTGTGAAGACAGAGGTGAAGGAGGCACTGAGCACTTCAGTCTTTTCTGCATCCTCTGTCACAAGGTTGCCTCCTCCATTTCCCTGATACTCCTCTTGCTACCGACATACTTGTAGAAACCCTTCTTGTTACCCTTCACATCCCTTGCTAGCTGCAACTCCAGTTGCACTTTGGCCTTCCTGACTTCATCTCTGCATGTCTGAGCAATGCTCTTATATATGGCATGGGCAAAGCTCCCTACTGCCCTGACATGGTGCAGCATAGGTGAAGCTCCCTACTACCCTGACATGGTGCACCATGGGTAAAGCCCCTTACCATTATTCTTTAACATATTAAAACCATCGGCCCTGATTTTCTTCTTTTACCCAGTCCCTGAACCAGAAAATGTTGCTGTAAATAAACTTTTTGGGTCTTTTTGGGGGGTTGAGGAGGAAGTTAGTGGTTTAAATCAACTCAAGTTATTGCTCTAAATCCAGAGCCATTTTTCCTTGCACAGTAATGCTGACTTACAAAACATTTGCAAACTAGTCAGAGGGGACCAGCAGGCATTGGGAGAGTCCCTGTTCCCCCAAGCACTACCAGGAGTGACTAGAAATAATGGTCACAAGCTGGCAGAGGGTAGATTCAGGCTAGATATCAGGAGGCACTACTTCACTGTCAGGGCAGCTAGGATCTGGAAGCAACTTCCAAGAGAAGTGGTGCTGGCTCCTACCCTGGGGGTCTTTAAGAGGAGGCTGGATGAACACCGTGCCAGGGTCGTTTGACCCCAGTACTGTTTCCTGCCATGGCAGGGGGTCGGACTTGATGATCTGCTCAGGTCCCTTCTGACCCTACCAACTATGAAACTATGACTTTGTGTAACAAATCCAATTTCCTGTAAGGATCTTCACTCCCAGACTTATTTACCAGTCTATTCACAATTCTTGCTAGGCACGATACAATTAAAGGTAAAATAGAAATTATGCAAATAGCCTTATCACCCCCTCAAGAGGTAATCTACTGCTCCATTCTTTAGAAGATTCACTCCATTCAGTGTTCAAACACAATACCTCACTCCATTAACAAAACTTATTATGTAAGAGGTGGTTTTATGATGAATTAAGCTTCTTGCAGTAGAGCTTATTTTAGATTAATGAATTATATTTTGGTTTTGCCAGTTAGCTACAATATTGGGGGACAATTATCATGGCCCTGTTCTACCCTGTGGTTCATAAAAACTGACCACAGGTACAGGAAAGTTTATTGTTCAGCCCTTTTCTTATTAAACTGCTCCAATCAAGATAAGAAAATAAGCTAAAGAGAATTAATGTAATTGTATCTTGCAGTTATGCTGTCATCATGATATACTGTTAAATTACCCAGGCCCATTTTATAAAACGTACCAATTGTTATGCAAATTATAAGCAACATTCATTGTTAAACATGCATTCAGTGTCTTTTTGTTAAACATGGCTGATATTTTCAGATGTGAACAATTACTTTAATACCAAAAAAGTGGGATAAAGCTTGGTGTAATTGTTTGTCATGACAGTCTCATTTGTTATACTTTAAAATGGTGTGAAACGGTTACCTGACAGCCCTGGAGGTCAAAGTCCTATGTTTAGATACAAAATAGGAACAGCATAAGTAGTAAAAGCTCCCTCTGCTACATGAAAGATGACATACTAAGGAAGTCTACAAGAAATGGAACGAAATTCTTTGGCCTCCATATAACGGTGGATCTTGGTGATGTGGATACTTGACTTGGCAATCATGAAAAAGTCTCAAGAGACACCAAACAACTGCCATGACTTCTGTCCAATGACCCAGAATATATTGGAATCAGTGATCTAGAGGAAAAAGACTCTTCCTAATATGAACCACTATGCTATTTTATTACTCAAATCTAATGACAAAAAATACGTATTTATAAATAAAAGTCCCACAGAAAGTTGTCTTCTTTGTAATAATATTTTGAAAGATGCAGTTGCACAGGGAAAAGCAGGAGTCCTTGAGGATTGAATGACAGGTAACACTACAAGATCAGGAAGAGCTGACGGTACTATTTGTCTCACCATCACTGGCGTGTGAAGGAAAGGGGACTCGAGCTGGCAAGAAGGTGGCCACAAGAACAACAACAAAAATCTTTAAAATGTACTTAGAAGCTTAGACCGTATAAACTGCAGAATAACCCATGTGGACTCCAGCAGCTAAAAGGCTCCTAACAGAGCATGAAGGACCATTTCAAAATCAATATTTTTCCTTAGCAAAACAGGCAAAGAAAACTCAGGGCTTTGATTAAAACATTACCCAGAAACAAACAATATGGGGGGTTTTTGTACAGCAAAACACTTGAACTACATTAGCAATGTCTGCTAAGTGGCCTTAAATGTTACTATCATCTTGAAAATGACAAAACGCATGCCTCCAGAGGTTCCATCTGGCACTGCACCGAGTGAGCTAATGCTGCATTACTGTAATAATGCTTATTGAAATATCAAACACAAACGTACCAGAATTTAGCCACTGAAGGCTAGACCAAGCCTCAGCTGAATCATAAAATATGCTTTGCTTTATTAGCTCAAATAGATTGAATTAAAAAGTGGCAGCAGAGCTAGCTATGCACTTTAACTACAAATAAAATGTACTCTCTCTCTTAGTTACACTATCATATTGGGACATCAAATTTATAACAAAGTGGCGACACTACAGATCACGCTGTGCAGTATAAACATTGGACTCACAATACTCAAGAGACTAATGAGCCTACAGTTGTAATAAAGAATAGTACTGGAAACGCTGTCACACTGAGGACGGTTTTAGTCTTGTCGTCTTGCAAACAAAAACATCAATTTATTTTTCAACGGCAAGAACCATGCTATGTATGATATGACGCACAGGACTTGATGGTAAAACATCAATTAAAGTATTATAAAAATTTAGTAAGTTGAACTAAGATAAGTATAAGTCTGACTGTCCAATAAGCATGGCACAGTACTAGGAATCAAGAGAACTGGGATCTATTGCTGGCTCTGTCAAAGGAGCAAGTAATTTCACCAGGCTTCCCCTTCTACCATTTATCTGTCTACCTACAGAGTGAAAGCTGTCAGGGGCTCAGACAGTTTCTTGCTATTTGTTTGCACTGTGTGTAACACAAGGGGGCTGCAATTATATTTGGGGCCGCTGCCATGCATATAAAAACAGTAACCTTTTACTGCAGCAGGCTCACTTTTATTTTCTAAATCCAGGTATGAAGATATGCTCCTAATGCCTCTGAAAGAGTTGTATAATGGTGGAGAAGATGGAGGTCCCAGAAAAACAATGTCTTTTCTCTAATGGGAACTCCAGATTCCAGTTATGTTCCAGGCAATAAAGCCCCCCAACAGAGATTTCAACCCTCTAGGAAAGAAAGGCAGGGGAAGAGACAGCAGAACTGTCAAGTGACTTATTTTCTTGTTGTATCCAATAATCAGAGTGGCAAATGTTTCATTAAAGAAAAAAACAAACCCACAAGACGAAACACCCATTTGGTCAAGTTCCTACCCACAACATTTTGCGATTCAAGTTTAATTAGACAAGGTGTTTGGTCACACTGCTATCTAATTTAGCAAGCCCCAATTAAAAGGCATCTTACCTCAAAAGAAGATTGGGAGCTGGATTGTAATGGGAAAGGAGTAACAGCCATCTGGTTGAGTGCATCTTCATTTCTATGAGACATCAAGAGAGACAAAAATCAGTATGCTATGCTGAAAACACATGCCTAAACTTTTCTTTAAGGTGGTCATTGTTTTATTTATTGGTTTTAGGTACAAAAACCCATTTCTTATATAATACTATAAACAGTGACTTCGGCTTGCATTCCTTTCTAGTTCATCTGTGATCACAGCACTTCAACATGTGGATATTGAACAGAAATGAAAACAGGGTGTAAATAATTTGACAGCAGCAGAGGAATAGTAAATGGGAAATGACAATACAATAGCTAAAAGACATTCTGCACAGAGATTTCTTTTCCTATTAATAGACCCTATTTCAATTGCTTCAAAAGAAAGGGCCTAATAGCTACTTTTATCACAGGCAGGAACACAAGGCTGGATGGGACCTTCTGGGTAATCAAGACCAGCCCTCTGCTACTGCACACCAAAAGATCCTTTTCATAAACTGAGCTGCATCTTACATATTGTTAGGATGGTTTGCCTTGCTACTTTGATTGGAAGACTCCTATAATTTCTTAAAGGGATATAGGTAGTAGCCATGTTAGTCTAAGGACAAAGGCAGACAAGGTTCTTTGGGTAAATCTGATCACTTTTATTAGACCAACTCAAATAGCTGGAAAAATTCTTCTTAACAAGCTTTTGAGTATAAATACCCGTCATCAGGCTGAGGAAGCATCTGCAGTTGGTGGGGGCTCTTCCTGGATGGAATGAAGAATAAAGAAGGAGTCCTATAATTTCTTTGCACTCATGGTTAGGAACCACCTTCAAGGTTGCAGCCTAAATGTATTTATGGCAAGAATATACCCTTTTATTCTTGTCTACTGCGCTCCCTTCTAAAAGCATGCTTCATGACTGTACCTACTTCCTGTTTTGATTACTAGATTCCTTCTGCCATTAAGCAAAAACCCCTCTTTTTTCTTTTCAGTATATCTTTGTTGCATACACTTCTGAAAATCTCATACATGCACTTAGCAAGTATATCAAGAGGGTAAAAGAAAGCAATTAATACTAAATATATATCAATGAACAGCATCTCAAAAATAATGATGGTAATTTAAAGCATATTTTTCTTTTTTGAATGACTGCATGCTCCTAAACAGGCAAATTATTACTTTGCAAATTTCTAACTATCAAAAGCATTTTTATCAGATGACAATACATATTAATTTAGCCTTACTAGAGGGTTTTTTTTTTTCCAGTGATATTCAAAACTATTGGACATGTCAAATTAACTGCACACCTTTCTGGCCTTTATAGAGCATAATCAAAGAAATAACATATTATAAAACATTGTTAAAAAAAGCATCTGATTTACAGAAAAAAAGCTCAAGGTTGTTTTTTTTTTAAACTGCATGAATGAACCATATAAAATGGTGCATAAAAACTGCACAAAGACTACAAGAAAAGTCAGGCCTCCATTTTGCTAAGAAAATAAGAGAGATAGTCCACACTCCACAGAGCTTCAAGGATGCATCTTCTGGGGAACTGGGATTAAGTGACTTGACCAAGGTCACATGGAATCTGTGGGAAGGTCAGCAACTGAACCCAGATATTTCAAGTTCCAGCATTTTAAGCACATACTTGTCTTTCCTTTATTTTCTAGGGAAAAAAAAAATATTTGTTCAGATGGCAATAAATTTAAAAATAGAATATAAATGCATGGAGGAAAAAATATATGTATATGGTTTCACTTTTGTTTCTCCTTCAAAGGGTTAATTTTGTAAAACCAGGATGTTGCGGTTACTCTGAAAAAGACAACACTATAAATCAATACCCCCCAGTAGAGCTGAAGATGGCAAATGAAACTGCAAGCATTTCAAATGACGAATCCTACAAAGGTTGGTGAATTCATTTCCTTTATCTCCAACAGAACAGCCATGCAGTTCAAAGAAACTGTTTTAGGATTGATCATAATCCCTCACTTTTGTACTCTCTCGCAGCCTCTCCTTTTGGCCCTCTTCAAAGCTTTGCAGCAGTTAGAAAATATGCTAATGTCGCTGCGACAATGACCAGTGTTACAAAATCGGGCATGCAGGAGGGCATGACAGAAATCCTAATGCGCAGCATTATCTGCATTTGCACCTCACAACTTCCAAGTGTCTATCGTTTCCCTAGTACAGCATATTAGGCAAGAATATTACTTCCTCCTTTTGTTTTCAAGTGGATACAATCCAATTACACTGCAGTTCTCACCTGAGAGGATTCATCAGAAAATCTAAGATCCCTAAGCTCTGTAGCAATTTTGTCTGATTGTACAGGTTTTTCCTCATCTCCCTCAAGCATTGGAAAATGTCTTCATAAAACATGAATGGCATAAAAATTAGCACAAAACTGAACAGTCCATAATTAGAAGTAAACTTGATTGTAATAAAGAATAGTTCTTAACGTTTGGTTTGTGAGAACTATTTTGCTTCTAAGAAACAGCTAGACATTATTTTTAATATCTACATTATAAATTGCTTTGTTCTTAATTACCCACATATATAAATGCACTGAATATATACAAACACCAGGATTTATTCCCACATCATCAGCTTGAAATTTGTATGTCATTTTAAACAGACAGTAATTTTCATTCTATGTTATAATTTTTTTCAGTCGTTCCCCAGCAAAAGAACCAAGGTTGCAAAAAAACCCCCAAAATCCCAATTTGTAATCTACCTCTACTAGCACACATTCAAACACATTAATACCACTTCAAAGGAGACTGCTTCAAAGCAGAATCAAAGTGGGAACATATTTTAAAAGTGACAGATATAATAATAAATGCTCTCTTTGCTCTTCACTCCAAGAAATGTCCTCGATTAAACATGAATTTATTTAAAATTAAAAGAAACAGTTTGCTTTTGATGTTGAAGCTGACAGCTCAGCAGTCGCACCATCATTTTCAAGTTCCAGTGGCTGCAAAAGAACATTCAACACGTAGTCCCATAATTACCCCCACTGTTGCCATTGAATACCACTCAACAGTGCATCTACAATTTTGAAAGGGGGTACATATGGCACGGTGCCTCTACGCATGTAACACAATGAATATTTTTCTCCTAAACACAGTGCTCAGCCTCTGACTGGGTCACCCTGAGTCATGAGAGAGCTGTGACATCTGATGCTGATGCCAGTGAAGCAATGCGTGGGAGGTTAGTTTGACACTTCAAATGAGGGGAGAACTGAAGCCAGAGCTGCATGTGTCCACCCTTAATACCACTCAGTAGTGCGGGGATGGGCAATTATTTGGGCTGGAGGGCCATTTAAGGAGTTTGGGTTAGCTGTCGCTGGCTGGTCAACACCCCGCACTGCAACAGCTCACCGCAACTCCCTAAGTGGCCCTCCAGCCAAATACTTGCCCACTTCTGGGCAGAGAGAACAAGGGTCAGGAGAACCTAACCTTTGTTGCCCACTTTTCCCTGAGGCCCCTCCTGTGCCCCGAGTCCCCGGCATGCAGCCAGGTCAGCAATGCACTGTGTTTCCATGAGCTGGCTCAGGCCACATGGGTGCAGCTGCTGTGGCTGCTGCCCAATCCAGCCATGTGCTGGGGACTCGGGATCAGGCAGAAGCCACACTGGGGTTGGCCAGGAGCTGCGCCAGCTGCCACATTGGTGCAGCCTGAAGCAGCACATGGGAACACAGTGCTGCACCAGTGCCTGCGCCCCTACCAGGTCCTGGCCCAGTACAGCCCAGGTAACCTGTGGCTCCTGGCTGTCTTCCCCCTGCACCCGCTCCTCTGCCAGCAGGGAGAACCTTACCTGAGCTTTAACTCAGCAGGTGCAGGGTCGGAGGGGTGCGCAGGGCAAAACCCTGGCCAGGAACTCAGGGCCCCTTGCTTTTGAGCAGAGCAGGGCAGACAGGCTGGGGAGGGAAGGCGAGTGGCTGCTGCTGCTGGTATGAGGAAGGGAGAAGGGCAAGGGGCCTCGAAAGCCAGGGCAGCTGAGGGCAGGATACAATTCTCCTTCAGAGAAGCAGCCACGGCTGGGCAAAATCTTTTGGAAGATCAAATCTATCCCACTGGCTGTATTTTGCCCACCCCTGCAGTAGAGACTAGTACAAATATGCCTTGAAAGAACATCTTTTCAAGGTCAAAACAGGCTTCTATTTTTTCAAAGTAACTTGCATACAATTTACACATGGTGCTAGTCCTTCAGATAAGACTTCAAAAACTAAGAGAGTGTGGACAGATGAAATAACTATACTGATTTACTGTGGGGTCACCATGAACTGACACAGCTGTTTCATATGTCCATTCCTCTACCAGTATAACTGAAGCAAAATCACAGTAACCTGAATGAAATAGGTTTAAAGTTACAGAGGTTCAACTCCATTCACCAGTAAAGGTGCAGACACACAAATGTTATGTTAGTTCCTGAGCCATAAATCTCCTCCCTGCCTTTGAATGTATATTGTTACATCTGTTCTGAGTCTTGAGTTTCTTTTCATTTTGCACAAATGGTTACCATCTCATCATTTTGCTCTATAGTCACATCCAAATTATCCTAAATAACTCGGGTACAATACTGTGAGGAAACTGTCTACCTGACTCTTGAGCTTGTATCCTAAAGATGGCTGCATTTCGGTGATGTGATGGACCTACATGGCATGAATCACTTTTGGGTGGAAGGATTCCCATGAACATACTTACTGTTTCTGCTCTCCAGGCTGAATTTCAAAACTGATTCACATTTTCACTTGAGTTAGAAATAAGAGTACTGACTGATTATGCTAATAGCAGCCAGTATTGTATTGCACTCGCAAGACTGCAAAAATTAGAGCCTCATTTAGTGCAGAAGATCAAGGGAAGCAGGGTCCAATACAAGAGATGATAAGTTCTGAACGGCCTACACACCCAGCTCGGACCCTCATACCAGTCTGAATGCAGTTTGAACCTCACTAGGCTTTTCCCCCCCAACACTTCACCATTGCATCTTCCCCTCCCTTTACCCTCGATGATTTAGGTTTTGCTTCTGTATCAGACAGATCCCTTGTACATAATATTACTA